ATCTGAAACTTCAGTCCTGAACTGGTGAAAGTTGAGTAGCAAGGGAAAAGCCATCAATTAATCTAGACTTCAAAGATAATCCTATTTAATTTAAAAATTTTCCGTTAACTTTCAGAAAGGTATTAAAACTCTTGTGTGTACTAACAGTACAAATAGAAATAGCTTTATAAATATTAAGAAGAAACAAACCCAAGCTTTAGAATGTCGTATAAACATAGCTTCATACTTCTGTCCTTCAGTGATTTGGGTCTTGTGTTCCATTCCACAAATGACCTTTGTTGTAAACAGACTGTGTTTTTCCCCCTAAATGCATGAATTAGAATTCATCTGGGGATACAGTTGACTGAGAATGCTATGATTTAATCTAGAGACCTATGTTAAGGTCGAGAGCATTAGTAGGTAAGTATAATCATTCTTCTACCTCAGCTGTTTAACTGGATGGCCCTGTTTTATCTGTGTGGTGTAACCAGTGGTCACTGCAACCAATTATGGTGATATTGTTTATTTCATTATTTCAAAATAACATCTAACCAAGGCAGCAATTTTGTAATTCCTTCTGGCATATTTGTCTTGCTTCCATTAAAACTATTACCTTTCATTTTATATTTCTCTACTGTAATTATCCTTTTTTTTTAACTTTTGACCTTTGCAAGAATTCATTTTTAATATAATTTCTTCTTTTTTAAAAATTGTAAATCTTCCTCATCAGTATCTGGCACACCTCACTCACTCCAGAAATAAAGCAGTCAAGGCTTCTATTAAGTTTCAGTTACATGGTGTTTGGCAATGATAATGTAACTTTTAGCTGGAAGATCCCTCTCTCTCTCTTTCAGTTCTCATTCAAAATCGGTGGCACTTAGCAAACAGGCTTCCCTCGGTGTAGAATTGGGTGGTAATTCCAGTCCCACTGGAGTAAAGCAACTAGATTATGCTGGAGTGATACATATAAACTCTAAAAATCCCCAAAATAACCTGTATGTTTCATGAATATGTTAAAGAAAACAATGCAATAGCTGCCTTTTCTGTGGCTCCCTTATTTATTTTTAATGCTGATTTTGTTTCTCTAACTCCCTAGAAAATCCTTTTGAGGCTCTTTGCATTACAAATAAATGGCTACTTTGGGTGTAATCTCCCAGGGCCTTTCTGGAGAGGGGAGAGGTTCTGGTGGCATTAACTATGTCTGGTGGCATTAAGAAGAGCTTTAGCCAAGGAAATAATACTTGTGTAGAATGATAATCGCTGACCACACACAATTTCTGTTGACTTGATTTGTAGTTGTGTGTGCTCAGGATCTCTTGTGGTTTAAAATCCAGTGTGCTACATGATGATCCAAGAACTTAGTTCAATCACTGGAAAAAGGCAGTTCACCAACAAAGGTCTTAGTTTGGTTTATGTTTGTCACTCAAAAAAGCATTATTTTGGCTTACTCTGTGTGTGTGTGTGTGGTTATCATTATTATTCTTTTTAAATTGCTGTATTTATACTAGTAAAAACCTAGCATAGGAAGAGATCCAAATAGATACTGTGTTTAACACAATGTAGGCAATGTATGTAGGGATTAGATGCACATACCTATACACAGCTATATGTAACAGTATGTACAGGGAATTAGAATTATTCTTACAAAGACAAACCAAAGTACTGAAATGTTAGAGTGAAGTCACCTTCTCTTGGAAGCTTGTGAGAACATTGTTATGGTATGGTTCAGTTTTCAGGGAAAAATTTGGTTGTTGTCTGTCCTACGATAGGGAGTCACTTCTAAATTGTGAGTCATTCAAGAGACTGCTACATCAGCCTCTGCATCACAACTTTTGGCATGATTGTTGTTCTTAATGTTGATGTCATCTCACTTTACTGATACTAAGCAGAACTGATCACAGCATCTTTGAGTTTATGACCAGACTGCATCTAGTGGAAGGCAAATGACCATGGAACAGGGAACCCTCTTGTTGGCTCCTGTGAGTGCAATCAAGGACCAGAAATTTTTTCTCACTGTCCACTCTGAAATATACTTTATTTTGAAAGAGTCTTCCTTGCAATGACCTGCACAGTTTAGATGTCTCGTAATTCCTGTTCTTTATCAGCAATGATACAAACCTTAGTTTGCTAAGCATGATATGTGTTGGAGTACATGAGAAACCTGCGCAAAAAAAAAGAAAGAAGGAAAGAAGGAAGGGAAGAAAGAAAGGAAGAAAGAAGGAAGGGAAGAAAGCAAGCAAGCAAGAAAGAAAGAAAGAAAGAAGGAAGGGAGGAAAGAAAGGAAGAAAGAAAGGAAGAAAGACCCTATCTTTCACTTTTGTTCACATTCATGAACTTATTTAAGAGATTATACTTTCTTCATTAGAAAACCTCACATCAGACTGAAACCATAACATATTAAGCTTCTAAAACATCCAAACCACCTACAACAGAATGTGTCTATGTTGACTCATTACATTTATGGAAAAAAAAAAAAAAATCATCACTGTACACTAACAAAAGGGGCAGTGTATCTTGAGAAGTGAGTGTATGACAAACTGACATATACAATAAATACGGATCTTACTACAGTAACAGATTGAAATTATATAGCTCATTTGAACCTTTTTCCAGCTTCAGCTTAGCCTCAGCTAAAGCACACAGGAAATAAACACATTGAGCTGTCTGGCACCAAGCAACTCTCCAGGTCCTGTTCTGTCTCGCACTGGGCTAGGCTTATCCATCCAATCAACATTAGGAGGTTTATTTATGTGAGACAGATATATTAGCAATAAATGGATTTATTCAGTAGCTTGCTGGATTTATATACATTCACAAAATCATTTCAGTTTAAGGAGACTTAAGACTGAGTGACCTACTATTTGTGCGCTCTGTGTGATGAAGCCCTTATGGTTCTACACTGCTCTTCACCAGAAAGGGAAAATAAATAAATAAACAAATAAAAGGGAGAGGGGAAGAACAACAACAACAACAAAAAAAAACAACCCAACCCGAATTGAAGTCAGTGAGATATTTACTGGAGTAATACCTGCAAAAGACTTGGGAACTGAAGAAATGTCAGTGGACGCACAGCTGGCTGAATGGCAAAACCATGGATTGTGGCATGCCGATATACTTTGTGTGCAACATTCCATACACACAAGTCCGTTTTAATTTTTACAAACCAAGAATAAGTGGAAGAACTCAGAGAAATACATTCAGGAGAGATGTCTGACTTTCCTTTCTCTTACCTAGACGTGCTTGCAAGTCAGGTCTGAACTGTATTGAAGTGTTTTCATTGATTCGTGTCTGTTTCTTAGAAAACAAGACAGAAAGTTCGCGCTAACGCTATGGATTGTCCATTTCAATCAGAGAGTGAGTGGCACATTCTCACCTCATTTGCAATTTTTAATTCCAATTGGACATTGCTTTTGAAACGTCCCTTCTCCTTTTCCCGTTCTGCTGCCACTTGAAAGTTGAAATGTAGCAAGAACGTAATGGTAGGTGCCAGCATGCTGAATTACAGGGTGACTGCTTTAGCTGATCCCAAAAAGCAAGTGTCTTTTTATACCGCATAAAAGCCTGAAATGTTTACATATCAAAAGGCTATAGGCCAATTTCTGTCAAAATTATACATGAAGCTAAGCAGTACAAGCAATTTATTTAAACACTAGTCATTGTAGAAAAATTCAAAACCATATGCTCTTTTAGCAGTTTTTCACAAATGCATTTGACCCATGACTTGGCAAGACATGCATGCTTCATAATTTACTCTAAATTTCAAATTCCCCTGACATTTAAATAAAAGATCTTCATTAATAGAGTTTATATGAATGAAAACTTTAGAAGCCGATATTGTTAGAGGGAAACTTTAAGGGGGGAAAGGGGAGACGCGTTTTGAAAACGCTACCTCGTTTTCAAAATGACTGACTTTCCTAATCAGTTCAAGATAAGTTTATTCTGGGAACAAATTACCGTAATTTCTCATTGTACCGTTGGTTTTTTGTTGTTGTTGTTGTTTTCCCCCTTTTCCCCCGAAGTAATTATGCAAAAGCTGGAGAGTGATGGCATTCGCACGGGAGGGATGTGCTGCAAAGCTCCGAGGAGCTCTCGGCGCTGGAGCAGACCCTTTGATCCGCCTCAGCTTCCCCCGCAGCCGGAGTCCGGTGGGCGAATAGCGGCCGAAGCCCCTCCGTAGCCTCCGCCGGGAGGCCCCGACCGCGGCGTTGCGGCCCCGCGGGGCGACCGCGGAAGCTGCGCGGTGCTGCTCTGCCGCGGAACCCCCGCGCCCCGCAGGCGGCGCGTTTTGCATCCCCAGAATTATTCCTTAATACCTCAAAATAAAAATACCGGCCGATTTCTCAACGAGCGCATTTCCATAGACTTGAGTACGGTGATTACTTTGTATGAAATCGTGTTTGGGTAATAATATTGAAAATCAGTGCAGTGTTTACTGTATTTCCCACCTAACAGCTTGTTCCGCCCGGTGCCGTACTCCTCTTTAGGTCTTTCTTTCAGCCCATGCTGTGACTCTCCCTCAGTAACAAACAATTGCTTAGCAACACTATGCAGCACAATTTGCTTGCGTTTCATTTGTTATTACAATTTCATCCCGACATTGTGTGAGCGCTGACTGTTCGGTTAATACAATTTTACGTCTGCAAAGTTAGCGAGGAGTGGGTGCGAGATGAGAAACTGCGGAGCAGCCTTTGCGAAGTGGATATCGACACCGAGTTCGAGCTGCAAGGCTTCGGAGATTAAAACAAAACCAAACGAGAAGTTCCCCGACGGGAGTGACAAGGACTTGGAGAAAATAAAACAATCATCATAATAAAAAATCATTTCTAAATTGGCAACGAAGGTGAGCGTTGCAGTCTCGGCGACATCTCCGCGCTGCCCTCCATTCCTCCCTCCCTCCGTCCTGCAGAGGCCCTCAGGGCACCTGCGGAGGCCCGAGGCTGTGCCCTCATGGCCCGGCCCGGCGTATCCCTGGGCTCGGGGCCACCCGGAGCCCCCGCACCGCTGAGAGCTGAGGAGGCAGCAGGGAGGTGCGGTCGCGTGGCTGCGGAGCCGCTGGGACGTGAGTGAGCATCGCGAGGGGGGGAATTAAGTAATACGCGGGGCAGGGCCGGAGCCAGGGAACGACTGACCCCCCAAAAACCCAATATCAAAGCACACACACACACATCAAAAAAATCCAAACAGAACAGCAAATCAAAAACCACCCCAGAACGTATACAAAGTAAGAAGAAGAAAAGGAAAAGAAGAAACAATAAAAGGAGAAAAAGAAAAAACTGACTACCCATCAAATTCTTTCCTTTTACATCAAATTTGTAAAATTCGCATGAAGGTCAGCTCTAAATACCAAAGGCGCAAGGAAATTGATAGGTAAATAAATGAAGGAAAAGAAACGATGGTAACTATTAGTCACATCGCTATGTATCAAAGTGAGAAAAGAGTCCTGGGGTCCTTTTTTCTTAACGTTCCTACGCGTCTTTTGATAGGCATAGGTCTTCGGTTTGGTTCAATATCAGACGCAGTAACAAAATCTGGAATTTCGAGGAAAGGAAGGACAAAGTGCGAGTGAGCGCTAACGAAGATGGTCTTTGTTGAGGAAAAATAATGTGTTCCTCGTAAACGGATATTAATAGCTTGTTTTCATTCCTTGCCTACAATTTCCTACCTTCTGTCATGGAGGGCTGATGGGGTAAATAGTCTAATCTGATTGAGTTCACCTCCTGTGGATTCCCAGTGACAGTCGTGACAGACGAAGTATTCTGCAAATCACAAGAGCAGCTACCAGGAGAGCCGAGTGTCTCAGCTGAGAATTTTACGGACTTTTAAACTGCTCCATTTCAAATTCTCGGAACATGAAATAGGCGAAGTTTCTCCGTATCGCCGCAGCTCTATACGTTTCGTTTTCGAAGTTAGAAAAGAAATTATTCTTGCTTAGAAAGTGAAAAGAAAAAAGCACCAGAACGCAGATGAGAAGCAAATCGGAGCACCTACCAGCTCGGCGATGTGAGATGGCAGCGGTCATTGACATTCCCACATTCTGGCTCGTTAAAAAACAGAAAGCGATACCTGTGTGGATGAGAACACACAACATAAAATAAAATTTAAATTTTACAGTGTCTGAATGTTTCCTCTCCAGGTAATGTAGGAACAGAGGGAGAAAAATAGTTCGCATACTCAGCAGAAGATATTGCACAGCGCACAGAATGCAAATGACAGCAGCGCACTCCTCAGTGCCCCACCGGTTCCCTGAGTAAAGTTCGCCTCGTGGTACAGAGACACTTCGAGGGGGAAAAGTTGCGTGGTTATACCGAAATTTTTTTTTTAACATGTTTCTCGATCAATTCGAAGTATAAATAATGAATCTGATCTTCAGACGGAGGAAATTGCACCCACTAATGCGAACTAACACTAGTAAAGTAGTGCATAATAGACAAGGCGAAGACCTGCTAACCGCTTCTGCACAATGGCATTAATGAGATTAACCCGGGCAATTAGCCGGCGCAGCAGAGATCAAACCTAAATCTGGGGCCTTTCAAAAAAGCCCACTAATGGAAAGGATTACGTTAATTTCATTAATTCTCAATCCACAGACCCAGGCTCCTTTCACTCCTTTGTGCAACCCCCCCATCCTTTCCCAACTGAAACGCGGGGGGTGGAGGGGGGGGTGGGGGAGTGGGTGAAAAATCAAATCTGGTTTTGTTTGTCATCTGCATATTACCAGGAACTAAATCCAGGATGACGTCGCCTGGGTATAAAAAAGGGAAGAGGTTCGGATGGATTATACTCCGTGCAGCCCTCCGGGCTGAGATCAGTAAACAGGCGCGAGTCGAGGGGGGAAAGTTCCAGGGGTGGATCCTGCGCACACACACACGCACACACGCATGCACATACACTCTGCCCGACTGCTGCCCTCGGAAAAGGCTTCGCTCTTTTCTCTCCGATCCCTTTCCAAAATTTCTCCCGAAAGTTTCGATTTCGCGTCTCTCACGCTTCCCCCCTCCCCTCCACCACCACCACTGCCGCCGCAGCCTCCGGCAGCACCTCCCTCCCCCGGCCGGTCCCCGGCCCGCGTTGGGGCATGCCTGCGAGCATGTTCAGCATCGACAACATCCTGGCGGCCAGACCTCGCTGCAAGGACTCGGTGCTGCTGCCCCCGAGCGCCGCGCCCGTCGTCTTCCCCAGCCTGCACGGGGACTCCCTCTACGGCGCTGCCTCCGACTACGGAGGATTTTACTCCCGGGCTGTGGCTCCCGGCTCGGCGCTGCCGGCGGTCGGCGGCTCCCGTTTGGGCTACAACAACTACTACTACGGGCAGCTGCATGTGCCCGCATCTCCCGTGGCCCCGTCGTGTTGCGGGGCCGTGCCGCCGCTGGGGGCCCAGCAGTGCTCCTGCGTTCCCCCAGCAGGTAAGGGAGCGCTCGGGGGGGACGGGGGAGAACGGGCTCGCTTCGTCGGGGAGCGGCGGTCTCACGCACGAAGCCTCCCGTCGTCTCGTCTGTCTGTTCGTAGGTTACGAGGGCGCTGGGTCGGTGCTGATGTCCCCTGTTCCCCATCAGATGTTGCCCTACATGAACGTAGGCACTTTGTCCCGGACGGAGCTGCAGTTACTCAACCAGCTGCACTGCCGGCGGAAAAGACGGCACCGGACTATCTTCACTGACGAGCAGCTCGAAGCGCTGGAAAACCTCTTCCAGGAAACGAAATACCCGGACGTGGGCACCAGGGAACAGCTAGCGAGGAGGGTGCATTTAAGAGAGGAAAAAGTGGAGGTATTCCGATCCCCTCTTTCCCTTCTCTTCCTTTCCACTTTAAACGCGGAGATGCCTGAATTCGGCTCCGCCGGCCGCGAAGAGAGAACAGGTTCGGGGCTGGGGAACGTCCCCGTTTCTGCGAGCGGGCAGAGAACGCGGAGGCGGCCGCACCGCGGAAGTTCCTGGCACAGCCCCGAACACGGGGGCGGCCGCGGGTCCGTGCGGTTCCAGGCGGGCAGGGCCCAGGGCTCGGGAGGGTCGGGGAAGGGCCTTTTCCTTTCTCTAACTTTGTTGCCTCGCTTAACAGGTTTGGTTCAAAAACCGCCGGGCGAAATGGAGGAGGCAAAAGCGGTCGTCTTCTGAGGAATCGGAAAATGCACAAAAATGGAATAAAGCATCTAAAACGTCTCCGGAGAAGAGGCAAGAAGACGGGAAAAGCGATTTGGACTCCGACAGCTGATGCCGCGCAGGGGGACGCTCCCCGTGGACTGTAGGATACGCTCCAGAGGATGCTACTATCTTGCACAAGCTCTGCCTTGTCGGAGGGGAAAACTATCTGTATATAATGTACAATACCCCGAGTCGTATTTCGTGTAAATAAAATGTGTTGCGGAGGTGTTGCACAGGCAGCCGGTGCCGGGTCCGTGCCGCGGGCGAGGGCTGCCGGGCCGCAGGTGGCCGCGAGCGGGATGGGCACGGCCGGAACCGAGCGGAGGGGGACGGGGCCGAACCTGGGCGAGGGGCAGCGGTGGAGCGGTTGCCTGCGCGTTCCCCGAGGTGAGGCGCGGAGGCCGCAGTCATAACGATCCGGTAATTTATTAGGGCCGCGGCAAAATGCCTTTTTATTATTATTATTATTATTATTATTATTATTATTATTATTATTTTCCGCCATGTCCTTTATTGCTCCCTCACCACCTTTGTACTCCCTGGTCGTAAACCTGGAATACTTGCAGGCAGCGCAAATCCAGCATCCCGTTTGTTCTTTTGCTGTGTTTCCTTGCGCTTTTCACTCTCTTTTCTGCTTTCTGGAGCTTTGTCCCGCTGAGTTTCCACAAGTTTGCCTTTGATAGAAAAGCTATCTCACTACATCCACATCTGAAAGCTCTCCTAATAAACTTCAGCCGCTATCAGCTGCGTTAAGCTTGAAGCGCAGCCCTGGTATGTTGCTCTCGGGGATGCTTGCTAAGAAGCTGCAAATTGATGTTTGGCCTCTAACAGCACCTTCGCTGTTAGGAAAGCAGCTCTCCTTTCGCTCTTCCTTCGGGGAGGCCCTCTTAGCAAAAGCATCTATTCTCCCTGTAAAATCCACATTCTTTTTTTCTTAGGCCTTTTTTCTCGTCTCTCCCAAAATCTCAAGGCAGAGCTACTTCTCTGAGATGGCAACTTCCTCATATTGTTTTGCTGAGAAGGGCCTTCCCTCTCCTCTGTGAGAGTTCTATAAACTGAATGCTAATGACTTGAAGGTATGAAGTCAATGAGGAAACCTCCATACTGTGTGTTTCAATCAGCAGTTAAGGTTAATTAATGTAATTTTTCTTAATTACCTTAAATGCCTGAGCTCACCTGTATACAGCAGCTTGTCTGGGTTAGACAAGACATATAGGAATGCTCCAAACATTGTTTCCAGTGATGCTAGAAGTAGTTTACAACTGTGTTTCTTGTCCTCATGCTTTTCCTCACATTCAGTATACATTCAGTTTTTATGGGCAGTGTAGCATAGTGCGTACCATAGGTGTCAGTGGGACAGGGAGGATCCTGGTAGCTGTCTGCTCAGGTGACATTTCCTAACATTATGTGTGCTTCTTCGTAGATGTGGTATTTCTCGCCAAGCAAACTCTCCCTGTACCAGGTAGAAGGAATAGCTGCTGTGGAAGAAATTAACTGAGGTTTTGTATGAGTTAGTCCTTTAGGGGGCTTATCGTTTCATAGCTACTGCTCTCTCAGAGAGAAGACTTGTAGCCTCCCTTTTTTTTTTTTTTTTTTTTTTTCCTACAGGGAAAGGAAGGTGAATAGCAAACTTCTTAGTTTCTTCTTCTTTGACACATACCATGGTTTGGCACTTCGGAACTACTGCATTTTGGAGATGCTGCCCTGCTGCTATAGATACGTATCTGGACTTCATTCACTGCAATCCAGCAGAAAATTAGCATTCAAATTATTGAAAATTATTTTTCAAAAGAATATTTTCTCTCTCTCCTTTTTTTTTTTTCTTTTTTTTTTTCCTTTTTTTTCCCCAAGTTGTATTCAAGAAGTCTCACTGAGTGGATATTTAATCCATCGTCTTCTTTGTATTTAGTCATTGTTACCTTTTTAAATCTGTTTTCAATTTGCCAAATAAAAAGGTAGGTCTAAGGATAATATTGTCAAGGGTGTTGCAAATATGGATATATTTTCCTTATTTCTCATGTATAATTAGCCTCACTGCTATACTGGGGATTTGGTAGAGTTTTGTTTGGATTTTATGTGTGTAAGTGTAGTGGAATGGTAATTTTGGAAGTCAGAATTGAGGATTTCAGCCTGTTCACTTCAATGTGAACGTTAAACTGAATGGTGCTATAAGAGATGGGTTTGGAATACATTTCTGATAACCAGCACCAGTTAACTTAATATTATAGTTCACATCTTCAGAGATTTTCAGACTTCTACAGTGGGAGCAAAGTGCTCAAGTACTGTGGAAGCTCCAGGTCACAGAACATGTCCTTATATACAACATTTGTTCTGTGAAATCATGTCATTTTTCATAAGAATCCAAAAACCGTGTTCCAAAACAAGCTTTCTATGCACAGGATTGTGATGAAATCACCAGTGATTGCTTCTTAAGTCATGTTGTGCCCTATCCTGAGTTAGTATCTGCATTTTCTCTAGTCTTGATCACCAGAGCTTGGTCCTGCAGTCAGTGGTATGTGTTCTTAATGTTATATGGAAATGAAGGTCTTTTAGAGATAAAAATGTTATGTTCAAAGTTATATTTTAGTATTTTATGTCTAATTGAAAAGCAGTTTTAATCTGGATCTAAAAATGGCATCTATACCATTAGTTGATAGAAGTATCTGTCTTACTGTTTTTCTCAGTAGTGTGTGGCAGAAACCCAGTGGCTTTGCTTTCCCTTTTGGATGCTATGAAATCAGGTCCTGTTGGGTCTGGAATAGACCAACAACTGAAAGGCAGTGAGAAGGCAGCACTGGAAGTATCAAGAATGTAGAAAAAGAAATGGTGGAAGGTGTGAAGAAGACAGTAGTAAAATCTCTCTTTTAATTGCTGTGTTTCATTGACATTATCAGATGGATTATTATTATTATTATTATTATTTTAATTTCTAGATTAGGAGAATTCCTATGTGCCAAAATGCAAATCCTACAAAAACAGTTTCATTATTTTCTCTGTTAGTGCATTAAGGGAAAGGCAACGTGAGGGATTTGAATACCCACTATGTTCTAACAGGTTCAGCTTCAACAAAAGCACTTTGAAAGGTTTCATTGTGGTGCTGTATGTTAATTCTTGTAGAAGGAGACCAAAACAGGTTTTTTTTTTTTTTTTTGTTTGTTTTTGTCTCTATCTCCCCCATAATTTACAGCCAGAAAAACTCATTTGGTGCTGCTGGTTTTTTTGTTTTTTTATTTTTTTGTTTTTTAATATATATATATACACGTGCTCTATGATTTGTGATATTGACATACTACCAAGGTTTTAGAACTTTGGTTCAGTTTCTTGCTGTAATTGGTTTGTGTGCTGTTCTATGAAATGTTGGACTTTCCTTCCTAAACTTGTTTGTAGAATTAATAATATTCCTTTCAGATCTCACAGGAGAGATAGGGTGGAGGGTGGACTGGAAGAAGAAACATAAGCTACTTACAGATGCTCACTGTTGTAGTGAAGAATTATTCCAGATAATGTTATGCATTATAGGAGTAACAACTGAATAACTATACAATAGGACCATACATCACACACATCTTCATGACAGTAAGTGGCTTAGGATTATGAAATTCTTTTGTGTGGGACATTTGAAGCTAGGAAGAGCAGACTTGTAAAGGTGGAGCACAGATGCATTCTGCCACGCAGTCAACTTGAGCAGTCTGATACATATCTCCCTTTGTGCCATCTGTATCTAGATGACCCTAACTCATGTTTTTATTTAATATCCTGTTTACTGTATTTATTCCTGTCATCTTGTAGTAAGTAATACTGGAGAGCAGAGTCAGATTATTTTGGCTGACAAAGTGATTTATTATCAGTTGAAAATCTATACTTTTTTTCCCCCTCAGTTTTACAAATACTTTGGTGAGCTGGTTTTGAGCTTTACCATAATGGGACTCTGGGAATATAAACCACGCAAACTCCTTCTTACATGGCTCGTGAAGCAAACAGTTGGATTAGTAGAAGTTATAAAAAAAAAAAAAAAAAAAAAAAAAAAAAAAAAAAAAAAAGGCAATGTTGAGTTCATATTTTTTTGTGCTCCATCTGCATTTATTGGTTCTCTGGGGTTATACACTGTGGAGCATAAAGGAACAAAAACCCAAAGAGTTCTTGTTTTGTGTTCTACTCCCTTAGGGTTTCATTCCACTTATACTTTATGTTTTCCTACTTCAGAGACCTGGTGAGTCTTGACTAAATCTAGACAGAGCAGTTCAGTTGAATTGTTTCTCTGGGGTTACGGTTACCCTGATTTGATACACAGAGTCTGTTATACAAAGGTAATAACTGTAGCTGCAATATTTTACCTTGTAAGCAATTAATACAAAGTTAAAGGGCCAATTGCTTAAACTCTGATAGCTTCAAATGTAGAGCCCTGTGTCGCTACAGTACTCTGCTTTGTGCTGAAAATCTCCAGAGGGAGAGAGAATTGAAAGGTAAAATAAAGTAATAATTAAAAAAAGAAGAAAAAGAAAATGTTAAACCACAGCCAACCAACCAACCATCTTTTTTTCTTTTTTTTTTTTTGGGTGGGTTGAGGGGGGGGGGCTGTGGGGGAGAGGTAGGGAGGGGTGGAGATAGAATCAGTGTTTGCAGAGAAGCACAGACTATATCCCTCAAGGATATAAAGCAAATCTGAGCTATAATGGTAAGGAATATGGCACAACTGAATGCAACATGGACCTACAGCACGAGAAAGGCCAGGAGACCTTGTATAGCTTAAAAGTGCCTGTGTAACAGAATGCTGAAAGTCACCCTTGTCTTCTACATGATGTCTGAATACTGGTATTTGCATTTCATTTCCACTCCTTGTTGAGCATGCTTTCTAATTTGGGAGATTTGCAGCTTTGCCTAATTAGTATACCTCAAAACATACTTAATGTATGTGCCAACCTGGAAATTCTAATTGCCTCTTCCCATTACATCCATGTGAAGGAACATTCCCTTTAATTCTGAACTGAGCAGTGAATCTCCACTAGATTCTACATGTGTTTATTTATACAGGCACAGTGGCTACAATAAATCTTCATGGTTTTCAGTCTTTGAGGGGATTTAGTCAGCGGTTGCTATCCAGTGACTGCAGAGTGCTCTGTTAACACCGTGTGTTGTGTTTTGACCTCGACTGCAGCTTGGCAAGAGTATATATGGATTCCCCTCTCCTCACTCTCCTCACTAGACCATCTTCTTGAGCACAGCATCAAGCAGCAGGGCTTTGGCTGCTCTTTCTGTGCAATGCA